TCAATCAAATATTATTAATGCAGAACATGCATGGTGCCTCAGTATAGGAAGGCATTTGTTTACACCATAATATAGTTTTTTTATGGAAATTTACAAATTCTGATAAAACTATATTATAAATATATTTGAATGTCAAATAAGATAGCATAATGAATGATTTGTGAACGTGAGTATATATCATGCTCGTATTATCCTAAAATAGCAAGCATAAGAATTTTTGGATATTTGGTTGTTAAGTTGGGAAAACATTAAGAGGGAAGCTTTTTCCATCAGCGTATGCGAGCTGATGTTGGATATTTAAGAATGTATTGAGAATTATGTGTTGGATGAACACAAATCAAATTTATGGAGTAGTAAAATCTCTTTTCTCACAGAATTGTATTTATTCAACACAATACACGTAGGTTCTTAATACAAATCAATGTCTACTTATCTCTCCCTCTACACTTACAAAAGGTCTCACCTCTATTTATCTGCTATCTAGAACAATTTATGTAATTACATTAATGTAAATTCTTGGTACTTTCACAATTAACACAAAAGTCCAACATATGGTTTACATTCAGTTACCTAAGACGAAACCATTAATTAGCCTTCTAAAGCAGTTGATCAATCTGGAGAATCTACTAGTAAATTGTTAATGTGGATGATATCATGATATATTATTAATCTGGCCCACCCTAATCTCTTCGTCTATTCACATGACTAAGTGGTGTTTCATCTTTTTTGCAAACCCTCATGTGCTTTCCTCTGTGTGAACAGCCCCTACATAAGCACCCCCTTGGTTTTAGGAGATTCTAGCTCTGTGAATTTTGATTTAATTCTTTAGTGAAAGTACATACTTCTCTTTAATTAGGAAAGACTACTTAGCTTGCTGGAAATTTCTATTGGTGAGTATGCAACAAGAAACTACTTTCACAATGTAGAGCTAGTGTTGGAGTCAAAATAGGATTTAAAAGAATAAAGGGGTACATGGAAATAAAAGATGGCAACATGGTGGACGACATACTGATGGGATTTCTTCTTGAGCTTAAGGATTAAATAATATTAAATAAGAATTAAATTTCTTTACATCAACCCCAGCCTCCTGTTTCAAAATTCCCTCCTCTCTTCGTCGGCCTTGGTGTACAACAGTAGAAGACATTTTATAAATACATCAAACAATTCTATCCTATAAATGTAACTTCCTCTTCTTCGAGTTAGCATACCAATTTTTTATTATGATAAGACTCAACATCCTACTCATTATAGGACTCAACCTCCTTGTCATGATAGAACTCAAAAACTAACAAACTACATGGAAATTATAAAGAATCAAAGACAATATCCTAATGTTTTGAACTCTCAAACAAGAAGGCTGCCATCATCAACATCAATCATAATAGCAGAGCTTGCAAAGGTAGATATGATTATGGTCATTGAAGCAAGACGGTGGGTATCGCATTCGCGACAAGTTGACCACTACATGTCTAAATGTTGAAGCAAAATTTCAAATTGAGGACAACCCAACTATGCAGATGCTGAGGTGGATCTTACTTCCCTTGCTAACAAAGAGGAGAATGACCAAAAGAATATATGGTCCTTTGAGGGCCTGTTTGTTTCGCAAAAAATTGCAGAAAATAGGGGGGAAAATTGAATTTTGATATTTTCCCCTACTTTTTGATGTTTGGTTCGTCAAAATTAGGAAAAAAAGTGAGAGAAAAAATGAGTTGTCACCATATTATTGGATGAGATGAGTAATTTTTGATATTTTCCTCCACATTCTTTATTTTTTGTTCTTTCTTGTGTTTGGTTCATTCTTAAAACTAAGAAAATAAATGAGAGAAAATGAGCTGTCATTATATTATTGGATGATGTGACTCATACTTAGAAAAATTAATTTCCTTATTTTTTTAGAGGAAAGGGATGGAAGAAAATTTTAATGAGATGTGATGAGTTGTCACCATATTATTGGATGATGTGAGTAATTTTTAAAGATGATAGAAAATGAAGGAAAGTTGGGTGAGGTGAGTTAGATGAGTTGATTGATGTGACTCATTTCTTATGTTTAGTTTATTTTTAAAAGTAAAAAATAAGATGTGATGGGTTGAGTTATCACAATATTATTGGGGGAAAGTGGAGAAAGTGAAGAAAAGTGTGTTAAAGAAAGTGAGGAAAAGTGAAAAAGTGAAGGAAAGTGGGTTTTGGATTCTGGGAAAAACGAAACAAACAGGCCCTGACTTATAATCAAGCGTTCACATGTACGGAAGAATAGAACTATTCAAGGAGCTTGCAAAAGTGCACATCAACATCATTCTTAGAGACTGATCCAAAACATAAGTGCAAGATAAAGAAAAAAATATCGTTTTTCGAAAGGCTGATACAACATAGTATATATCGAATGTCTATTACATGCCCAATATAAAGCACAATCTGCTTAGCCTTAGGCGACTTCTGATAAAAGGGTATGTAATCACATTAAAGATAACTTTCTTGTGTTTAAAGTGGCAAATTTGAGGTTGCTTTTAATGGTACAAATGACGGAGAATTGATTGCTCCCTCTCCATCTCATGAGAGAGCTATAAAAATACTTCTATGCACTAAATAAAAATGAGTCATAAAAGTGACATCTTTCCTTCAGACAATTGAACTTGTTACGGTTCTATTACGTGCTCTCGGCAAAACTATTACTATTAATAAATCTATGGCTATCAATAAAGAAAAGGCATCCTTCTGGTCCATAATTTGGTTCTATCCTTTGTCACGAATTTAAATAATTCCAAGTAATGTCCCCAAAACTAATAGTATTTCAAAATGCATGGATACGGCAAAGTAGTAACTAGTAAATACTAAAAAGGAAAAATTGCTTTGTAATTACCATCCCTCTGCATGTTTCCAAATCTCCATGTTAAAAAAACCAACGAACAAACAATCCTCATCCCTCAAAATTTCTCTCTCTCTCTCTCTCTCTCTATATATATATATATATATATATATATATATATATAGAGAGAGAGAGAGAGAGAGAGAAATTTTGAGGGATGAGGATTGTTTGTTCGTTGGTTTTTTTAACATGGAGATTTGGAAACATGCAGAGGGATGGTAATTACAAAGCAATTTTTCCTTTTTAGTATTTACTAGTTACTACTTTGCCGTATCCATGCATTTTGAAATACTATTAGTTTTGGGGACATTACTTGGAATTATTTAAATTCGTGACAAAGGATAGAACCAAATTATGGACCAGAAGGATGCCTTTTCTTTATTGATAGCCATAGATTTATTAATAGTAATAGTTTTGCCGAGAGCACGTAATAGAACCGTAACAAGTTCAATTGTCTGAAGGAAAGATGTCACTTTTATGACTCATTTTTATTTAGTGCATAGAAGTATTTTTATAGCTCTCTCATGAGATGGAGAGGGAGCAATCAATTCTCCGTCATTTGTACCATTAAAAGCAACCTCAAATTTGCCACTTTAAACACAAGAAAGTTATCTTTAATGTGATTACATACCCTTTTATCAGAAGTCGCCTAAGGCTAAGCAGATTGTGCTTTATATTGGGCATGTAATAGACATTCGATATATACTATGTTGTATCAGCCTTTCGAAAAACGATATTTTTTTCTTTATCTTGCACTTATGTTTTGGATCAGTCTCTAAGAATGATGTTGATGTGCACTTTTGCAAGCTCCTTGAATAGTTCTATTCTTCCGTACATGTGAACGCTTGATTATAAGTCAGGGCCTGTTTGTTTCGTTTTTCCCAGAATCCAAAACCCACTTTCCTTCACTTTTTCACTTTTCCTCACTTTCTTTAACACACTTTTCTTCACTTTCTCCACTTTCCCCCAATAATATTGTGATAACTCAACCCATCACATCTTATTTTTTACTTTTAAAAATAAACTAAACATAAGAAATGAGTCACATCAATCAACTCATCTAACTCACCTCACCCAACTTTCCTTCATTTTCTATCATCTTTAAAAATTACTCACATCATCCAATAATATGGTGACAACTCATCACATCTCATTAAAATTTTCTTCCATCCCTTTCCTCTAAAAAAATAAGGAAATTAATTTTTCTAAGTATGAGTCACATCATCCAATAATATAATGACAGCTCATTTTCTCTCATTTATTTTCTTAGTTTTAAGAATGAACCAAACACAAGAAAGAACAAAAAATAAAGAATGTGGAATTTTATAGATTATCTAAGAATTGTAGGATAAGGATATTAAGAATGTAGTCCTCTTTTGCAATAATTTAAGGACTTCCTTTTTGCTAAGCTCAGTCCTCTTTCTTAGAAATATATCAGTGATTTTTTCATTTCCTGTTCAATTTTGTTTTCTAATGACAAAAACTAATTAAAAGTCTACATTTCTCTTTTTGAAAATAATTAAAATTATTTTACAAAATAAAAAGCCATCATATTTTTTAGTCATATGTATCTAAGTAATTAAAAATGTTTAGCATACATGTTAATACTAAATTGGGAAAGTGGATTTGTTGTTAAAGCTAGGCAGTGAACAAATGACCCAAGATAGTTTTGATTCAATATTCAGTGTAAAAGTATATCAAAACAATGCCAACTTTAGATAAGAATCCATGCTCATTTACGAAAAATAACTTCTTTTAATTTACGAATTAGAAAATATTTGGCACGGAGTTCTTGGATATGGAAGAGCAAAATGGACATGTCAAATGATCTATTCAAATAGGCATATGCAATATGTTATAGAAAATGAACTTACACTTTTGATTGACGCATATGTGCCTTTTATTTCTACTTTTATCTCTACTATTACTGTGACTCTGCTCTATTGGGCCCTGAGTTTGTCCCAACAAGTGGTATCAGAGCCAACTTAGGGTGCTTGTATATATCTACTTATCGTATGCTCTGTGGCTGCCATCAATGGTGGATCCTCCACATCAGAAAATAAATTAGGTTATCATTTACCATTTGAAGGTGATGGGTACTATTCATGAGGATGGTAGTATTCATAAATATGATACTATTCACAAGTACAATACCATTCACAGATACAATTACTGTTCATAAATACAGTTACTGTTCATAAATACAGTTACTGTTTATGTGAGTCAGTAAGAAGTTACTGTTCGTGATAGAAGCAATGACGACAAAGTTCAAGATCGAGAAATTCGACGAGAGTAATTACTCACTGTGGAAGTTAAAGATAAATGCTATCTTGAGAAAAAATAATTATCTGGTGGCCATCGGTGCAAGGCTGAACGACATCACAAATGATAAGAAGTGGAACGAGATGGACGAAAATGCTATTACAAATCTTCATCTGGCATTAGCAGACGGGGTGCTGTCAAGCATAGAGGAAAAGAAGATAGCAAATAAGATCTGGATACTCTAACAAAGCTATATGAGGTAAAATTCATGCACAACAAAATTTTCTTAAAAAGAAGACTTTACATTCTAAGGATAGCGGAATATACATCGATGAGACGATGACCGACCACATCAACACCCTAAACACACTGTTCTCCCAACTCACAACGTTAGGGCATGCAATCGATGCTAATGAACATGCAGAACTTCTACTTCAGAGTCTCATATAATCAACTCATCATCAACCTGACAAACAACGTCCTCATGGATAATCTAGTCTTCGACGATGTTGCAGCCGCTATTCTGGAGGAAGAAAATTGGCGCAAGAACAAGGAAGACATGCATGCAAGTTCGCAACAAACAGAAGCTTTAACGGTGACGAGAGTAAGATCAACGGAACGTGGCTCCAATGGGAGTCATACCCATGGTAGATCAAAATCACGAAGTAAGAAGAATATCAAATGCTACAACTGTGGCAAAAAAGGGTACGTCAAATCGGAGTATTGGCACAATAAGAAAAGTAAAGATAAAAAGTCTTCAGAGCCATCAACATTTCAAGGATGCGTTGTCAGCACATCAGACGATGGTGAAATTCTATTCAGTGGAGCAACCACTGTTGATGAAGGCAGAAAGATGTTTGCTAATGTCTGGCTTCTGGATTCAGCAGCCTCCTAGAACATGACCTCCCAGAGAGAATGGTTTCACAAATATGAATCTATCTCAGGAGGATCTGTATTCATGGGGAATGATCATGTCTTGGAGATTTCTGGTATTGGTATTATCATAAATGTTTGATGGTACAATACGCACCATTCAAAATATACGACATGTGAAAGGCTTAAAGAAGAATCTATTGTCTTTGGGACAATTAGATGAGCTCGGATGCAAGACTCATTTTCTAATGAGATCATGAAAATTGTTACTTGTTAGAGAGACGCTTATGGTAATAAAAGGAGAAAATATAGCTCCAAATCTATATATGCTCAAGAGAGAAATCCTGTAGAAACTGATTTATGTGTGGCATCAACCAGCCGTGGAGAAGAGCAAACCATGATATGACATCGTAAACTAGGCCACATGTCAGAACGAGGCTTGAAGATTCTTTCCGATCAGAAGCTGCTTCTTGGACTTAATTCGGTAGCTCTTCCATTCTGCGAGCATTGTGTTACAAGTAAGCAGCATCGACTGAAGTTCAACACATCAAGTTCTAGAAGTAATGCTATTCTGGAACTGGTTCATTCTGATGTATGGCACAAGCACCGGTTACATCTTTGGGAGGAGCAAAGTATTTTGTGTCCTTTATTGATGACTACTCCAGAAGATGTTGGGTGTATCCTATCAAGAAGGTGGATGTATTCTCAGTCTTTAAAACCTACAAAGCGCGGGTCAAGCTTGAATCTGAGAAGAAGATCAAGTGCTTGAGGTCGGATAATGGAGGAGAATACACAGACGGTGAATTTTTAACATTCTGCAAGCATGAAGGTATCAAAAGACAATTCAGTACGGCTTATACTCCTCAACAAAATGAAGCAGCGGAGCGAATGAACAGAATTCTGTTAGAAAGAACAAGAGCTATGTTAGCAACTACAAATCTGGATAAAGTCTTTTGGACAGAAGCAGTAAAAACCGCTTGTTATGTGGTGAATCGATCTCCATCAACCATAATACAGTTGAAAACGCCGATGGAGATGTGGACTGGCAAGTCAGCTGATTAGTCTAACCTCCATATATTTGGAAGTCCAGTGTACGTAATGTATAATACCCAAGAAATTACAAAAGCTGGGTTCAAAATACAGAAAATGCTTATTCTTGGGGTATGCTGATGGAGTAAGTGAATTTTAGCATTTTCTAATTAGTAATTTACCAAGTTAATAGTTTTTTTAACGATGTTAATAGTTGGGTAGAAGTAGTGCGCTTTCTTTCATTACCAAGTAAATAGTCTAGTAAATATATGTAATGAGCTCTCTTCACAAGAATCACACAGATCTCATAGCTGGAAGTCGTATGGCCTAACCTAACCCTAGGCTTTGGGGAAATGTAGAACGGTATGTATCTGCTAGACAAAAGAAAATAGGCCAATTTATTTGCATGAGCTCAGCGGATTTTACTATCTATAACTTTCCAGCTACTCTTTTAAAATATACTTCAACAATGTGATGGTTTTTCAATCAATAGAACTATAGGATTAGGATTTAAACTAGGAATTTGAGTAAATGTATAGTTAGAAAATTTGAACCGACCAAAAAAAAGTGTTTTGAAATGACAATAAATAACCAAAGCAACTAAAATTCCTACACATTTGTGGAAGGACGATGTCATTAAACAATAATCGCGTTAATTTTTCAATTTCTACTCTTTAATACCTTGATATCAATATGAGCCAGTCACTATAACAAAATTTGCACATGCCCACACTAATTTTACGATATTTGTAGAAGTGTTATGTTAATTGCAAAAGCATTAAATGACACAAACAAAAAATGTCATAAACCAATACACATATTTGCTCATTAGATACAAAATAAAATAACAATAATCATAAATATATATATCATGTGTAGAAAGACCCCCTTCTGCACATGCTCTACCTTCACTTATGACTTGCGTCACGATCCATTTGTGCGACACAAAAATATGATGCGAGTTGAAAAAAGATATCACAAGTTACAATTTTTGTTGTAGTGAGTGTACCAAAGCAGTTTTTGATCTTAGAGGAGCTTACAAGTTTCTTAATGATGGAGGTCCAATATCATTAGTACATCCATGGGCAAAGTGCATTGTGGAGAATACTATCTCTCTCTTAAGGTAAAGATTTTCACCTCGTTGGCTGTTATGAAGGGTAACTGGGAGAAGTGCGGTTATCAAGGGCAAAATTTCTATGTATTAACAGTTAATCAGCTCTTACCAAGATATCTTTAGTCCACAATATTTTTATGAAAATATTTTTATTTTATTTTTTTTCAAATAGTACTATCCCTTCTCGCAACTTAAGATCTCTTGAATAAACGGAGATATCAAAGTATTCCTTTATGAGAATATTTTCTTGCGTTCAGTACACTCAATGTTGGTCATCTCTTACTCTAAAGAGAAGATAATAAGCAAGTAGACTGCTCAGATAAGTCAGGCATATCAAGAAAACAACATGAAAGGACAGTGTATCAGATTATGTGAGCCTGAAGTTTTAAGTTTCAAGACTTCTGTGTGCTCTTTGTGCTGGTTATTTTGGAGGATGTACTTGGCAGCCAGATCTTTTATAGCTATGTACCTTTATAGCCATGATTGATTTTGGGTTGTCACTTTATTTTTTTTGCTTTTTGCGTATAATTTCTTGTCTCTCTGAAATATAATTTGAAGGAAACAATGCCATTTTTTTGAAACATCATAAATTTGGGTATAATTGAAGTACTGAAGATTCATAAATTTGGGTATCAATCAAATATCTTTCATACCTGTGATTCAAGATTTGTCGTGGTAAGCGCCCTTTCTGTGTATGTATAACGTTCATATCGTTCAAGAATATTTTCCATGCTGCAGAAGAAAGTTAGTCACCGGTCGTTAGATTCCCATGTCGTACGTAAGACATTACTGAAAACTCTAAAACTCAAAACTAAATTTGTGTGCGTCTTGCTCATCCTCGACCGCAGGAATTCCGAAAGAAACATTGGAGGCAAACAATAAAAACTGAAACAAGCTTATCATTGTTGTTAATTAAAAACAAAAAAAAAAGCAAAGGGAAGATTAAACAGCATTTAAAAAGAAAAAATTCCAATGTGACGTGTTGCCTGTCCTCACATGACAGAAGAAAATCTTTGGTGCCTGTTTTTTTTATTTAATTTCTTTTTGCATATACTCCAAATTAATTAACAAATTGATTAATTAACCAAATTTGTATATTTCATGCTTATTCCGTAGCCCTGACAGCAGAAAACAACTTGCTTGACAGCATTTACATATTAAGTAAACACTAGCTAATTATCCACCGAGAGAAGAAAAAAAACTGTCTACCGACCGGTCCACCCAAAAGAGAAAAGCGAGAAATTAATAAATACAAGACCAAAAGATGAAAACCACAAAGGCATCAAATGATCCTGGAGGCAAGAGAATGCAGAAGGATGTACACGATCAGCTGTATAATTAAGCCCATAAAATTCGCAATTTCATGGACCCAATAGTTTTTCCCCCCTTCCTTCTTTAAGACATGAGGCCATATGAACCAAAAAAAAAAAAATAAAGAAAATGTTTTTTGTTCCAAATTCATGTGGTGACAAAAGACATCAAACTGCTCATGTTAGTTTAGATTAAAGCTGGAAGGGACGAAGAAGAAAATGAGGTAGAAGGGCCTAAATGAACCCTAATCCCATCAACACTCCTTCCAGGAGAAAAGGGCAAAAACAAAAACAAAGAAAGAGAGAGAGAGAGAGAGAGGAGGAAGAAGAAAAAAACAAAGGAATCATCCAAAATTCAAGGAAAACAGCAGGAGGAAGGACAGACAACCTCATTACATTGAAACCAGTCTACCAATCCACGCGTACAAACAATAGACATCAAAAAAATAAGAAACAAAAAAAAAAAAACATTACGCCATCATCCAAAATGGGCAAAGAAAAAGACACAGCTCATTAGCTCAACTTCTAAAAAGGAAATAAAGCCACACCCTTTGCTGCCACCGCGGGCAGATCGCGANNNNGAGCCGAAACTAGCAACAGAATATATAACAAAGAACAAATCAAGGAAAATCCAGAATTTTAAAAAAATAATAATAATAACGGTGCGTTACAATTCTGAGAAGAGGACGAGGATGAAGAAGGTCAAAAAAAAAAAAAAACAAATAAATCCTATTTTTATTTTTATATTTTCAAATGTAAACTTAAAAATTTAGATTGACCACGCAGGTTTAACTACCTGGAGTCGGTGGAGTACTCATAGAGCTTCCCTTTGGTAGAGAAAACGATGAGGGCGACCTCGGCGTCGCAGAGCACGGAGATCTCGTGGGCCTTCTTCAGCAGCCCAGCCTGGCCGGCTGATCTTGTTCCTCTATCCTCTTCAGCTGCACCTCCCCCCCACCTCCTCTCGCTCACCCCCGCAATCTCCCGCACTGGCTGAGATAAAAATAGTGCGCTACCCTAATCTCACAGTCTACTCCCTCGCCACCGCCCCCGCCCCAGACCCTTGATTAAATAATAACAAAAATTATATTATTAATTAATGGCCCCCCTTAACCGAGGGGTCGTTCTTTTTACCACAATATAGTCGTCACGAGCGGTTTTCGGTGAAACCGGCGTGGTTTTTGAAATAGCGTTTCGAGTTCCCATTGGCCCCCGCCCGGCCCCCACCCTTCCCAGGCCCCAGTTCGTTACGATGTCCCGTCCGCGGATTCGCTCTTCCACCCACCACCCGCCACTCCCATCTTTTTCGGGGTAATCTGGGCCGTCGGGTCTTAAGGGGGACTTGTTTGCTGATACATAATGGAACAGCACGGATTGTGCTGTTAAGACGTAGCATCAAATTCGAGCATCTCTCATCGAAAAACGGACGGCGGGGGGGTGGGGGCGCGGGCGCATAATATCTTTTACACTCTCTTTTTCTTTTTCCTTTTTTCTTTTTTCTTTTTCCCTTTTTTTTTCTTTTTATTCTTTTTCGCCCCCCTCCCCTCTTTCTATTTTGGTGACGACGGCGGATGTTTCGCTCTGTATTACGCAGTAACTGATGACAACGGCCCCCGGCGTTCGCCGAAATTACGAGGCGCGCCATTCCTGAGGAACGCTCGCTGCGCACCCCTCGTGTGGTCCGTTTGGGAAACTCGGCTGGGGGCTGATAAAACGTGTAAGACGGCACGTATGCCCCTCCTGGGGCCCACGGCGCGTCAATTCTCCCGAGTGGTGGATTTTAAAGCTGGGAACGATAAGATTTTTGTCTGTACTCAAAATGGATCATCTTATTTTACCTATTAAAGAATACATCGCAATCAAATCCTATATCTATTATACACCGGGTTTTACTCTGTATAAGTTAACCAATTTCCGTGGAGAAAAAGAGCATCTCTGTCAGATGTGGGCATCTTATCATTGTTCATCTCACATCCAATCTGCTTTGCGGTATGGGCTGCTGGCAGGGGGGTGGGCAGTGGGCAGTGGGCAGTGCTTGCTCGTCGTCCCGCGGGCCGGCCCACGCGGCCCATGCGGATTTAGTGCCATTGCGAGCCGCTCAACGACTCGTAAGCGAGTTGGGCGAGACGTAGTTTTGCCATTTGTTCCGGGCCCCAGAGCTCAGCTCGGCTTGTTCACGGGTCGCCCTGCTTTGCATACTTGATTATTTTTTCGTTATTTTTTAAAATTTAATTACTTTTAATAGGGTTTTCTCAATATTGTTTAACACTTGACAATTATATGTTAATAGCAAACTAACAATGACACGATTACAAAAATTTTAAAAATAATAATAATTTTATTAAGCAAAATTGTATATTAGCATGCAATTGTACGTAGAGAGAGGATCGTCGCAAATACAGAGATTTAATGCAGTACGGAGAAAATTTTACATCAATGAGTAGCATAATATTAATTGTTCCACTAGTTAAAAAAATATAAGAATAAAAGAAATTACGATAAACTTTAAAGAAAAAAGATATTACTACTAACTAAATGCGAGCCCACGGGCCGCGACAAGTGAGCTAACCCGCTCTTATGTAGGCCGCGACAAGGAGAAGACAAAATTTCATTAAATCTTACATGGTGATTTTCTTACAATTCACTTTCATAACCACTTGCATACAAAACAAACATGTAAATTGTTAAAACAAAGTCGTTTTCTCGCTTTCATCTTACACTTGTACGCAAACGACCGCTCTCATGGATATATGAAGCTTTTAAGTATTTCTCTACCCTAGGGCTAGAACCAGTCTCCATCTTTTACTTTTCATCCAATAGGTTACAAAAGGAAAAAAAAAAGTTATATATAAATGTAAACTTCTTCACATATATATATACTCCTTCGACTTTGGATTCTATCAACTAGGAGCTCAGAACCCCCACGCGGTACTGAATTCGATACGCTTCGAAGTACTTTCCAACAACTAGAAGCACAAGATATTTGAGCACACTGGCTCACACTTACAATCCTACGTTTCTATTAATTACTCCAAAATTTCATTTGCAGAGATAGAAAGTGGGTGTTTTTAGGAGCAGGACGCATTTCAAATAGTTGATGAAAAAGAAATGACAAGGGAGAGCATTGCTTCGTGCTTGAGAAAGGGTAGGCAGCCGTATGTTTGAGACACTGTTCATGTCACGTGCAAACATGTACCCTCCTATTTGTTATATATATATATATAAAAGAGTATTTTTGTACTGCATATATATATGCGTAGAATTTGTAAAGTAAGAAATAACAGGTACCCAGCCCTTCGCCACTAATCATTTATACTAAAAGCTATTTATATGGATTGTCTGTACGTTTGCATCCAAGAACACTACTGTGTTTGGGAAGACTGTCGCCCGATTTATTTGCTTAATATAATTTGTTATTTAAGTTATATTGTTGGTGTCTTATGAAGTAATTGTCCAATATATTCGTGACAAGAATCTTACTAACAGCTAGCAGATGGATGTAGGGTATGTCATTTAACTAATTCCCCCCCATAAAAAGAAGATAATATGGTTCGGTGGTCCTAAACCAGGAAACAAGGTAGGAATTGATTCCATTGTCGCATTTGAGGAGATATTTCTAAAATCATCCCCTTAGCTTTGGACGATTACCGGAAAACCCCTTAGCTTTTAAAATATTAGAAAACCCCCATTAAGTATTGGGACAATCAAAAAAAAAAAAAAAAAAACCCATTAACTTTCAGATTTATCAGAAAACTACCTTTAACTTTCAGATTTTTTAGAAATTTGCCTTTAACTTTGAGACTTTATCAGAAAACTCCCCAACTGAGATTTTGGTTAAAATCCAAAGTTATTAGAAAGCTGCCTTTAACTTTGAGATTTTATCAGAAAAATCCCAAAATTGAGGTTTTGGTTAAGATCTCAATTGGAGGATTTTCTAATAAAATCTCAGAGTTAAAGGCAGTTTTTTGATAACCCTAAAAATTAATGGGTGTTTTCTGATATTTTCAAAGTTAGTGGGGGTTTTCTGATAATCATCCAAAGTTGGGGGGTTTATGATATTTATCAAAGCATAATGGCCTGATTGGTATTGCTTTTTTTAGTGCTTCTGTTGTTTTTTCAATAATTAAGCAGACAAATAGTATTTGGTGAAATCTTTTTAACATACTTATTCACACTGCTTCTTCTTTTAAGGGGATGAGTTTAGAAGCAATCTAAGAATGTTTTTAAAAGCAACTTTTACTTTTTTTAGTTTATATACCTCGTATACCTTTTAGTTTTTAACAATGATCATTAAAACAGTTCTACCAAACATCTTAACTATTTCTTAAGCAGTTTTGAATATTTGATTACCAAACAACTATTTTCATCAGCTTATATTGTTGAACATAAACGTGATTAAATCATAGAGGATAAACTTAAGAGCGAAAGCTTATACCTGAATCCATGGCTTGGATTTGAGATGGATTTTGGATCTTATAATCTTAGGGTTTCTCTCCTTAAGATCTCTTTAGATGGGGACAAGAGAATGAGAGTGGCTAACCCTAGATTAGGGACCATAACCCCATATATATAGATGTTGTACATTTATAATTTAGCCCCTCATCAATTTACAATTATAACCTGGTATCTATACATATAACCCCATGGTTTATTTAAATACCCATTAACCCAAATTAATTGATCACTTCAGTGGGTTATCATAAAGAATAGCAATACACACAGATTAATCATATGTTCCCATAAATAGATTTAATTAGATTTAAATCTAACAATCTCCCACTTGGGCACCATATGATTCCTTAAATTGTGTATAACCTTATGAGCTCAAAATTGCTATCACTGAAAAGGTATTTCTGAACAATCTCGTCCATTGACTATATCAATATAGGATCAAAGCGGCCTTCGTCACATTTATCGTGACTCGACCCATCAATAGTCACATATGCTAATACAATCAAATGACATAGATCAATCATGGATGTGCAGTACGAAAATCACATGCAATGTGATCAGTACATATTTATTTTTAACTGGTCCTATTTTAGTGAGGTCAAAACCAAACATAATGTAACAGAATGTCTTAACTGAATACTTTATTCTGATCAGACAGTACAACCAAACACAAAACATCAAAAAATTACAAACTTCCACTAAATTATGATATCCTCTAATATCACCACACCCATATGAGCACTGTGCTCATGAAAGACCTTGGGTGGCAATCCCTTAGTAAGAGGATCTGCTATCATGGAGTCTGTTCCAATGTGTTCTATGGATATCTGTCCATTCTGTACCATTTCTTTCATAACCAGGAACTTAATGTCAATATGTTTTGACTTAGTTGAGCTCATGTTGTTTGTTTGTGGAAAATTTGCAATATAAAGACAATGAAAAAAATTGACTTGTATTCTCTCAAAATCAATTACAGTTGGATTTCCTGATTACAAAAGAGAAGAGAACGAATTTGGTTCTCCCCTTTGTTTAAGTCTGGGGTCTTCACGGTGGCGATGGAGTGCCTCCCTCGAATGCTCGCGTCAAGTTTGCTCTCCGTTGACGATCCGAACGTCTTATTTCACTGGAACGATATCTTCTCCTCACGGTTCGACGTTGTAGAGAACTTGCGTGACAAGTTTGAAACTCTTGATGAGTTGATAACTCTGAACGAGTTTGAAACTCTATGAAAGAGTTTATTTGAACCGAAAGTTTGGTTAATAAGCCAATGATGAAAGCTTCTTGATCTCAGTTGCTGAAGAATGCTTCCAGATTGGATGATTGAAGGAGCTCCTGTTGCCGATCTCTAGATCCGAGAATGCTCCAAAGCTCCTGTTGACGATCTCTAGATCCGAGAATGCTCCAAAGCTCCTGTTGACGAGCCAAGAAGTTCCAACCTCGCTAGCAAG